GTCCCTTCACAAACACACACACACACACACGGGCGAACCCCACCAATAACCAATGATTTTCTCATTCCGCCGCAATATCCCCCCGCGTGAGCCACATGTAAGGAGAAGGGGAGAATGATTCTATCACATATGAGATACAATTCCCCCGTGGACCGCCGCACGGAGCAGGGAGATGGAGAAACAGAGGGAAGGCAGGGAGGGAGGGAGGGAGGCAGGGAGGGTGAGGCTGCCTGTCTGTAACCAGCCTTTACGAAAAAGAAAAAAAAAGTAAAGACTCTTGGATTTCTGTTCACTGTTCCTAACTGCTTCCAGTCAGCAAAGAGGCCATTTTGCTGTGCTGTAAAGGCTCAGTCTGATGCATCCACTGCTAACAGACACCACCACACTGCAACATGCTGCATCTGTCTTCCAGCCTTTAGACACATGTGGGTTTAAAAGCCTCATGTCAACATTTTTTAACAAATCTATCAGCCTCCTGGAACAAGACGTCTACTTCACTGGCTTCCTCAAAATGAAAAAAAAAGCTTTAGACTTCTCTTTCTTTAGTTTTCTCTGCCTGCTGGAGCTCAGGGCAAACACAGCACGCTGCATAGTTTTTAATATGAGGGACACCCCGTTTTCCAAAGCAATAATTAAAGGGGAGGTTTTGCCAAGCGCTGCATTTTCAGACATTTTCACACCTGGCAACTCCAGTTACAATATATTCTTGAACCGCTGACCACGGAGCAACCTCAACAGAATGACAAGCAGCTCAGGCTTTTTTTCTAAAAGCACTTTGACGGCAATTTGAGAAGCAAAAGGCGTGCAGGACATCTCATTTTTTTTATTCGCAAATTTCTACTCTGAGGATTTGAACTAGCAACTCTACTTCCTCGTGGCTTTTAAGGCCACTCCTCAAACAGATGGAACACTACGAGGCAAAGATCACTCAAAAAAAGTATAATGAGATATTTTCTTGCCAGGGGTTTTCTCTCCAGCAATTTTGCAGTAAATCACGGGCTGATATTAAGCTTGTCAAACAGCGCACAGCAGGTGGAGAGATAACAGTGGAGAGGGAAACCTATTATCAGAATAGCGCCACTAAATCAAGTTCTCATTGTGGGAACTACTTGAAAATGCAATGTTAGTGGAATTAAACAGTTTCTCCTTAATGAGAATTCTCCGGAGGCGTTCCTTAAGGGTAAAGCTACACCTTGTATTACAGGTTTATCGTTTTGTCCGAGCGCATCAAAACGTTAAGAAATGATTTAATCCGATGTTAAAAGCTC